CTGGTCCCTGAGCTAAAAGATACTTCCACTCCACCAGACTGATGCAGGCTCTGCGGATCGGATTGTTGAGGGTGAGGCAGAAAAGGGCTCTGGGCGGTCTGCCGCTGGTGGATCCTCCCTGCTTTTTGCTTTTGGCATACTGCTGCCTCTTCTTCTGTGCCAGTGAGCCCACAGGAGCTGGCGTAGAAGTGGTACAAACTGGGGGACGTGAACTTATATTGGGCTTTTCAGGATCGCCCTGCGCTTGCCGGGCTGCGCTAATGGCGGCATGCCAAGCGAGGACCGGGCTGACTCCGGGTGCAGCTCCACCGGGACCCTGAATGGAGTTGTTGGGCCCGAGGAGGCCATGAGCGGAGCCGACGGGCTTGCCGGTGCTAGCTGGAGGATGAAGGGACTGTGATGGATGGAGCTGGTGCAGATGGGTGTTTCTTTCTGACCAGGGAGCTGAGGTGTCAGTTGGGGTAGTGGTCCTTCTGTTGCTGGCATACTGTGCCCCTGGAGAGAGAGAGTGGGAAACAGGGATAATATTTTGAGATTGAAGTTATAAACAAAAACACCTGAACATGTGTGTCATTGGAGGCATTGCAGAAAAGCTGCAACATTCCAAAATCCTTTCCACATTTTTACAATTTCAGGCTCATATCTGCCAGCTAGTAATAATACAGATGATATACTCACTTTGAATCCCTATGCAAAAAGTAACATATCCAAAATCTACACTAACATTCAGAGTATTCATCTATGCTCATGGAGCAAAACAAAGGCTCTAGAAAAATTGCCTAAAATGTGTTCTTAATCTACACTATTCAAATGATAAGCTTGCAGAAATATATCCTAATATTAGCTCAACGTGTTTACACTTCTATCAAGAACCAGCCACTCCAGCTCGCATGTTTTGCCACAGCCAATCATTGAACAGTTTTCGGAAGAATATTTTTTGAGGCCCTGACATTCTTGTGTAGACAAAACACAGTGGCATCTCCATCTTGTGGCTCTCCTGCCTTTGGAGGTCACGATTTCCGCAGCACCAGCAAAGACAATTGTGTTTGCTCCTTTAACATCTCACAGATGTGTTTTCTTGATTGTCAAAAAGACAAGACTCCATTCTTTAAAATCTGGGTTAGAGAAATGCTTTCTATGCTGTGTTATAAAAACTGAGGTACAGTAGAGCCAACTCTCTGGAAAGATTCAGAACCACCTGGCTGCCTTTCACTGAATGGCTATCATAATGCTGCTGTTTTTGTCTTGTTAATGTACATAATAATGGCACACTCATGAACTGATGGTGAGTTAAGGAGAACGAGTCCCCCCCATCCCTATTATGTATACTGTTTATGTTATTATATCAAATTGGGGTTTTTTCTGTCTTGTACCCGTAATCTTAGGGATGGATGTGGGGAACATTAAATTTTTTTAGAAAATTATAAATACAATTTGTGCCAATATGTTTCTGATATATTGGCTATTTCAGCTATTAGTCCATATATTGGCAGAGACATTTATAATGGCTGATAAATTCAAAGTATAAGAGTGAACAAGCGATGGGAAAAATACCCTTCAGCCATGTTATTAGCATGGATGTTGTATTTTTTGCCCATCAAAAAGCACTTTGCATTTTCACTGTTGGCAAAGGGATGGAAGTCTACAAAAAAGATCAGCTGGTCACATAAAGGTGTAATCCACAACCTGCTGTGACAATAAAATGAGATTACTTTTAAATAAAATTGTCATTATAGGACTCATAAATAATACCCATAGTCTTGGTCTTGGTCTTAAAAATCAGTCTTTAAAGTGCTTTTCAAACAAGGACACCACTATGCTTTCCCAATGAATGAGGAGACTGAAGATAACCGCTAGAATTTCAATTCAGCTTTTTGCAAAACTCTATTGGGAGCCTAATGGCAGTGGACATACATATATAATGTCGACAACATTATCACTACTTCACATTTAAACTTGCCTTGTACATTTACTTGCTTAATATGCAATTAACTGTCCTTTAAGAACCCATCCAGAGATAAAATGGGCAGAAAAATAAGAAGAAGAGGTGATTATGGTGATTATAATTATGGTGATGACGGGCTTGAAAGGAGCCCAGAAAAGACAGCTATAGAAAGAGAAAGCAGAACAGCCTGCATGAATGGGAGAGACAGAGAGAGTCATTAAAATCAATGCAGACCATGAGCTAAAAAGTCAGTGCCCTTGACACAGTCGCATACTGCAACTCTATAGCACAGTCACATCGGGGAGTGTTGTCAGCTATAGACTGGCCGTGTCATCCAGCAAAAACAGCTCCAACACACAACTAAGCACATAAAGAAAAAGAAAGAAAGAAAAAAGAAATGAGGAATCGATTTGTGTGGGTCATGTGCAATATGAGAGAGAGGCACAAAATCTGAGAAGAATAAAGCTTTTCTTTTAAAAGGTAATGATTAGACAAAGTTGGTTCCTTTATCAGATTTCAGGCAAGCGCCTTAATTTTATTACTTTTCATCAATATTCTGTTCGTCTGTGCAAAATCATAGTCACGATGACTCGACGCTCATAGTTAAAACATGATAGTTTATTATGCGGGGAAGTCTATCCAAAACGTCACTTCACTTTAATTGCGCTTGATGTCAGCGCGATCGCAGGTGAGAGGTGCATTCAAAACATTTCAGCACCACCCATCCTCATACAGCGATACACCACCGCCACAGGTGCAGCAGAACAAGTGCACGCTGCTAGTTAATAATAGTCACAGCCTGTCCGACATGTAAAAGGAATTAACCCAGCGCTTCTGCTGGATGTCGCACATCTGTCACAAGATGCTGCAAAACAGCTGTTGACTGTTGCTGTGGTCGAGTTTTGCTGCTTTTGTTTGGACAGCTTCTAAACTCTAAAAGAAAAACTTAGAAGAGAAGGAATTTACTTTTAAAAAGTTCATTTAGGGTCTCGCAGCTTGTTCTGCAGAGCGAATATATTCAAAGCATCCTGTCACATGGTTTCAGAATGACTGTTATAGTCAACCATTTTTCGGAGAAGCCTCAACTCGCTTCCCAGTGGATCTGATTACTGATGTTATCACAATAATGTAGCCTACAAGCGCTTACAGTGTTAATACACAATCCCTGCACTGGAATAAGTTGAGGAGGGGAAAAAACATGTCAGCAGCAGCCACGACTCAGAGCATATAATCACACGGATTAATCAGACATCCAGAGAATAAACCAAACGAGCGCTCTCGCCCCCTCTCCCTCTCTCTCTGCTGCGCTCCAACTCTCCTCCTGCGCTTCCACACGCACGTTTTAGGTTTTGTTTTTTTACCTTCAGACTGTTCATCTGCTTCTTGCATCCTCGAATCCACATCGAAAAGATCCGTTTTAAATCCAACTCATCGTTGGAAAAACCGTCCGAAGGTGTCGAAGGCGCGAAACCTGAACAGAGCCTTTAACCTGAATCATAAAATGTTTTCCGAGCGCAGACCCTGAGAGGAGCGCCAAACATTTTCGCCACATCCGGGTGCCTGCCTGCAGATTCACGGCGTATCCGAGAGGACGCGCTGGCAGGGGTAGTCAATCCAGTGCTGTCAATTATCCTCTCTGTGGCTGGGGACGGACTGACACAAGTTGGAGCAATCGCGTGGGCTCCACTGTGCTGAAATCACGCGCGCCCACCAACTGGAAATGCACCTGTTGCTTCCTATTGGGAAACTTGCAAAGAGCGAATGAGATCATCTCAACGTAAACATTTAAATGTTTTTAACTCTAGACGCCAGATGCTGCTTTAAAAAAAACCCTATAAAAACAAATCATCTGACTGGAGAATTAAGTCGTGCGATGACATCAGAGAGCAACGAAGACAGGGAGAAATGTATATCTATCTCACTATATTAAATTGTATGATCCTAAATTAAAAACTGCTGCAAGGCTGCAATTAAAGGTCGTTTAAAGTACAGCCGTGTACCTGCTTTAAAACTATCCACGGGTTTCAAAACCTCCGAATCTGTTTATCCTTTACGATTCGGTTAAGTGCTGTAAGAAGGTCATGAGACACGTGACTGCACAAAAGAAACCAGTCGGATCAGTGATAAATCTGCTAGAAACAAATGGTGACAACTATACTTTCCCTTAAGAGGGAAATTTCTGTATTTGAGGATGAATACCATGTCCCTATCTTATCCTATCCTATCCATATGAAGAGTTAAACGCTCGGACTTACCCCGCAGGGGTCTTGCCCTTATGATTAACGGCATTAGATCACCTGGCTCTTCTCGGGGGCCTCATTGCGCTTTTTTCTGTCCTCTCTCCGCGAAGATTCGAGAGGAAATGGGTTGTTAGAGCGGTGCTGGAAGGTTACCCGTGATTGGATTACCTGAGCCTGCGGGATAAAGTTTCACGGTGGCGCGTAATCCTCAGATTATAATCCTGCTCCACTGTTCCATAAACTGCAGGTGAGGGAGGCAGATGCAGCTCGGTCCGGACAGCAATCCTGCACAATCCCACTATGCACGCAATGGGTTTAAAGTATTATGTCCAAATAATTACAATAAGCACAAAAAGGTCACGCCAGGACACAGGGGCGTTTTAACTTTTCACTATCAGTCTGCCATTTCGAGCAAAGTTAGGATTTAACGTGACTACAGATGAGTGCGATTTCAAATAAAGAACATAAACTAAAGTAGACGTAAAGTGTCACAGAGGTTTCGAATTAAAACACACAGCCATAAATATCGTTTTTCTTTAACTGGTTTTCCTCAAATAGGTTTTACTATTTGGAAATTATATCCTATCGTAAATATCTAATCATGCCACGATTATTATAAGTTATTATTATTATTTGATCGACTTTGAAGCTCAAAAGAGTCACCAGAGTTTTTTTCCTAGAAGCATTTTGTATTTAAGCACTCTCTAGCTCTAGCTAAATGCGACTGACCACAATTACAGTTCGGATTAATATGCGGAAAAAATCGGTGCCTCGGAAACTTTTTTAAAGAGCCGTGTTTTCCGGGGACAGCGGAAGTTATATGTGTCTGCTGAATTCCGTCCGTGTGGGAGCAACAATCATATCCAAAATGGAGACCGTAAATGCTGGACATATGATGAGCTTAGCTGCTCTACAGAGGCAAGATCCATACATAAACAAATTGCTCGATGTTACCGGCCAGGTGGCTCTATATAACTTCAACTCCAAGGCGAATGAGTGGGTAAGTTTGTAAGTAACGTGACTTTGCGGAAAGCCGTCAAAGCTATTTGACTTAGCATGCTAGCTGTTCTGTATAAACACAAAAATACAAAGAAATTTGATAATATTTGCGGAAGTGAACTTTATCCAGGTAATGCTTACACACGTTGTGTTTCGCCACCACTGTCATTTTGAAAAAAATTTATTTATTTATTTTTTAAATACCAATAAGCGTAATCTTTTATCCGCTAGCTATAGTTGTGCTAACAGCGTCCTTTGCTATTATTCAGCATGTTTATCGTTTCTGACTCACACCTTCACTTTTTATTTTACAGGAGAAGACTGAAATCGAGGGCACCCTGTTTGTTTATACAAGGTAAGCACGTGAGGCTTTTATAGGAATGTAACGCGTTGACCGCGAGGACTTGTTTACCTTCACGCGCTGTCATTTGACGTGTTCTACGCATGTGTGCAGGCCTCAGTCTTTGTAAACAAACACGAATTAGATTGCATGTGATTTTTGTCCGCTCACAGAACGAAAATCACACCCTGTTTAAACAGGAAAATAATAAGTAAAAGTTTTAGTAATTAATTCCACTTGAAGTGTAAAGACTTGTTTGATAAACAGCTTTAACGCGCATCGTTGTTTTGAGGGCTGTTCATATATTCATTTGAAAATAACGAAATGTTAGCAACCGATTTAATTGGTTATTGATTAATATGAATATTTTTCACAAAATTGAGAATTATGTAATTCTCAGAAATTCTCATTTACAATATCTGAGAATCCTCCAACCTACCTCCAAGCCTGAGGCCATAGTTCTCAGCTAGAAAAGGGTGGAGTGCTCCCTCCATGTAAGGGATTATTTGCTATTTGGATCTTGTACACAATTGAGGGGAGCGTGAAATTGACGGACTGATCGGGGCCACATCTGCAGCGATGCAGATGGTTTACAGATCAGCAGTGGTAAAGAAAGAGCAGAGTCCTAAAGGGAAACTTTCAATCTTACATCCCTACCTTCAGCCATTATCAGGAGCACTGGGTAGTGATCAAAGACAATGAGATCTGTGCCAGTTTAGGCGACCACATACCACATGGCCAGAGAGCAGCAGCCAGGGTTTGAAAAATGGGATGAAGAGGCCAAACTAATCTGAAAATCAGTGAACTTTTTTTTTCTAAATGTGTTAATTCTTTGTCATAAAAAAATCATTCATGGATGACTAAACTAATCGACACAGAGATATGTCATATCAGTGAGGTGATGTTTTATGTTTTTTGTCCCTGAAAGGTCTGCTTCCCCTCACCATGGCTTCACCATCATGAATCGACTGAGCACGGAGAACCTTGTAGAGCCAATCAATAAAGACCTGGAGTTTCAGCTACAGGATCCATTCTTGCTCTACAGAAATGGCAACTGTGAGTGTTTTGTTGTCCAGTTACACAGAAACTGCAGATGTCATGTGCAGGAGATTCATATTTCTGTGTATGCTTGGACTGAAATCAGATGTGCTGCAGTACTTCACAGCTTCTCAAAGTTTGAGGGAACAAAAAAAGACCACCATCCCAGAATATCAGCCAATGTTTCTCAGCTACATAATATTTCTCTAGTACAATGTTTCTCCCATAATATAGCGCTGTATCACAAAAGGTAGTGTCGAAGAGAAACATTTACCATAGCTTTGAAAGGCTCCGCTTTAGACAAAAAGAGATGATAATTTGGGCAAGAAAAATCACAAATTAACTGAAAAAAGTAAATATCCAAACAGTCAGTAAACTTTTAACCTTTATCTAAATGTTACCGCACTCTTAGTTTTTAATTCATGAACTTTAGAAAAAAATGAAAAATGTTGTATTCAAAGAATTTCTGCGTTTCTCTACATATAGATTTTGTGTTAAGTTTGTTTGCTGTATTGGTTTTATTTCATTTTTCCTGCTCAAAAGCAATAATGCCAGAACACATTAGTACCTTTGAAAATGCTGGACAGACACTTTCCCAGTGTTCTCTGGAACAGCTCTTCTCCCTTTTGCTTGAAGTCCTTCTTGTATCTTGGAGAATCAAGGAGGAAGACCTTGTCATTCATGGCCTCAGACTGGTCTGTCAAACCACACAGTATTCAGCTTTGTGTGGCCACAGTTTTCATTCTGTATTGGACCAACAAACAAAAAAACTTTTGGCTCTAAGGGGTGAATTAGGCTTCTATTATATAAATATTTTTATGCCTGCTGCGTTTTTTCCTGAAGGCTTATTCCAGTGAAATCGTTTAGCGTTATGAGTTCAGCAGGGAGTAGTATCAGATGAAAAGGCTGGAAATAAATCCTCAAATCCTCAGAAAGTAACTGACAGTGCTCCCACCGAGGTAATCTATCAAAAGTCTGAACAGAAGTTTCATTAAGGCAATGAACAAGGAGTTGGATTGTTTTCCCATTTGTTTGCTAATGAGAAAAAATAACATGGCCAGGCTCAGCGTCAGAGTGGACTGCTCCCCTTTAGGACTCGGCTTGCCTATCAGCCTGCCTGGTATGGAAGACATGATGTAATGTTTTTGTTGATATCCAAGTCAGAAGCTTTTCCAGGTGCTTCACAGGAGTCCGACTGCTGCTGTTTTCATTTTAATTCCTCAAAGTGTGTTAGGTTGCGGGCAGATAAAGTGGTTGAAGGTGTTCCTCAGGCTGTGAAGATGCTCGTCTGACAGCTGATGGTCACTGTAAGGCGGGTCAGAGTAAACGGTTTTTGATCATTTGTTCCACACGAAGGTTTGCACTGCCCATTTGAGCTTTTCAGTAAGATAAGTTACGGGCTGAGGAGCCTTTGTTTGTTCTCTGCCTGAAGTCTGTTTTGCTGTTTGTGATTGCTCTCTAGGTAGAGTTCAGGTTTGTGAGAGAAAGTGAGAGCAGGATGTAGATGATGCTCCTGAGACTCCTCTCTCCAATTAAAAATAATGAAGGCTGATATTGCTGAAAGATGATTGTTTGACGAGCATAGAGTCGAACACGGACAGGATGGATTCTTCAGAGGGATGTTAATGCTGCTCCAGGTGTGTTTGAAATCTCTTCTGCAGGCTGATGCGTGCGCTCAAAGTTTCAGATGTCTGTTGCTGGGGTGTGTACTTGGACTTGTGCATACACCTGTTTACAACACTTTGTGTTCCCGTTGGTAGCAGGGGATGCTCCAGGGAGGCAAGCACTTGGGTTGCTAGGTTACCTCAGGCTTTAGAGGGAACTTGAATACACCAGTGTTTCATCACATAGACACACACAAAGCATGAGCAGCTTCATATAAAATTATTGTTTTTCATCAGAAACTGCAAATGTGCAGTTTGCTTGTTTTCCGTTTGGTGTCGGTGAATGCTGTGTTAGCTCTCCACAGATGAACTTCTCCTTTTTGTGTTTGATTGTTTTGTAACTTCACTGCTTTGGACTGTCAGATTCTCATTGATCCTAAGGTCCACTAATGTGCAGTCATGTACAGTGCTCATTTAGTGTTGTTTTCAGTGTTTTCTTGGATGGCTCAATTATGTTAAGTCACAAAGCTGACTAAATTAATAATCTTAAAAAGACTTAAAAATCATATAGTTCCTTTAGCTGTATTTATGAAGGGTCGGGTTTGTTTTAAAGAGTTTTGTATAAACTGGTGTCTGCTGTCAGTGTTATTAAATGCATTATTTGTATCTGTGTTTTTAACAGTGGGTATCTATAGTATTTGGTTCTATGACAAGAAGGATTGTCAACGCATCGCTCAGCTCATGGTCAAGTAAGTAGCCAGACATTTGATGGAGGAAGTGGATGAAATTGGGCAAGGCTTTACGTTTGTCTGTTTTTTCCACTTATCAAGTTTGATTTGTATTTCCAAATTGAATTACAATGTGTACTTTCTGGAAATGTGGAGGTCTGTTATGTTCACTAAATGCAGGGTTTGAACAACTCCACATATAAGATGCCATAAAGTTGATGCAGTGTAAGGAGTTTTTAATACAGAATAATTCAAATTAAACAAAAATATAGGAGCCCCATGAAAAGCAAATCAGACCATGAACCAACCATGCAGCGGGATGTAAGATTCAGGCTCCACCTTAAAAGTAAGACTGCCATCTCCATCTTGCAAGGTAAAAGGAGCAATCACGTCACTCCCAAGTTGACTACGGTGCAGTAAAGTGAAAAAAAATCGAGGAAAAACAGACTTTGTTTTGCTCGGGAGCATTGTAGAGCTTTTCATTCATCACTAGCAATATAATGTACGGCTTATTTAGCAGGTCACACATACGCAACAGTAGTATCCATCCATCCATTTTCTTCCGCTTATCCGGGGCCGGGTCGCGGGGGCAGCTGCCCAAGCAGAGAAGCCCAGACCTCCCTCTCCCCAGCCACCTCCTCCAGCTTATCTGGGGGAACACCAAGGCGTTCCCAGGCCAGCCGAGAGATATAATCTCTCCAGCGTATCCTGGGTCTGCCTCTGGGCCTCCTCCCAGTGGGACATGCCCGGAAAACCTCGCCCAGGAGGCATCCTTCACAGATGCCCGAACCACCTCAACTGGCTCCTTTCGATGTGGAGGAGCAGCGGCTCTACACTGAGCCCCTCCCGAATGGCCGAACTTCTCACCCTATCTCTAAGGGAGACGCCAGCCACCCTTCGGAGGAAGCCCATTTCTGCCGCTTGTATCCGCGATCTCGTTCTTTCAGTCACTCCCCACAGCTCGTGGCCATAGGTGAGGGTAGGGACGTAGATCGACCGGTAAATTGAGAGCTTCGCTTTTACACTCAGCTCCCTCTTCACCACAACAGACGGTACAGCGTCCGCATCACTGCAGCCGCTGCACCAATCCATCTGTCGATCTCCCGCTCCCTTCTCCTATCACTTGTGAACAAGACCCTGAGATACTTAAACTCCTCCACTTGGAGCAGGTTCTCGTCCCGGACCCAGAGTGGGCACTCCACCCTTTTCCGGCTGAGGACCATGGCCTCAGATTTGGAGGTGCTGATTCTCATTCCCACCGCTTCACACTCAGCTGCGAACCGTTCCAAGGCCAACAGTAGAAATGAAGTTTTAATGTTTTGCTATTGTTTACGCTTACTGCCACCATCTTGGATTGTAAAGTCAGGGTTGGTGGGGCTTTCTGATTATTCTCAGTGAGAAATCCAACTTGAGGAGGCATTCCATCTCAGAACTTAGGATTTCTGCTTTCCCATTTCAAATAAAATTCAGAATAAAAGTGGTTCTGCTGGTGAGTCCCAGCTCCCAACTCAACTAATAGATCAAAACAAAGAGCCAGGCACTTTGCTTCTTCTGATTTTCAGCCAGTCAGGCATAGGGATGAGTCGGGGTGCGAGCAGGTTAATGACAATTATCAAAATAAACCGTGATCATGGTGCAAATGAGCTGTGCAACGATTGGCCCACTTAGGAAATCTGTTGATTTGTCCCAGCATTGTGCTCTTGTGAAGCAAAGATGCAATTTGTAAGGGCCTGGATTGTCTAGTTCATATTTTGGTTTTCGTTGCATGGTTTGTATAATTTGAGTAATTTCACTTTAAAAAACAAAAACAAAGTAAGGTTGTTCAGTATATTAACTCTGACCCCAACATCATCAGTACTTAATATCTGACAAAGCAAACAACAGTTATGTGTGCAGGCAATATGTCATGCTTTAACTCTGTGCCAGGATTGTGAAACAAGAAGCAGACCATGCCCAGAAAAAGTCACCTGAGAGGGCAGAGCCGGGGAGAACCAATGGAGTCGCAGAACCCCGCAGCATCGATATCTTGGAGCTGCTCAGCAAAGCCAAGGAAGAATACCAGAGGGTGAGGTGGCAAACACGCAGTTAACGTAACATCTGACTTATGTTATCACACGAGTATGATCACCTGATGTATAACTATAGTGTTTGACAGGATTTGAGCCCTAATTTGTGGAAATTTTGACAACAAAAACAAAGTTGTGTGAATATCCATATAAGTTATTACAGTGGTAAATGACCTGGGTCTTTTTCAGGTGTGGAGTTGTCAGTTTAAGATAGAGAGAACAGTTCAATATAATCTAATGTTTTTATGTTTGTGCAATAATTGCAGTCCCAAGGAGGTGAAACAGATGTGTCCATTGAACAGACAGCAAAAGCAGCTGCCAGCACTACAGATCCCCACATCACACCGCAGCCTGAAAAGGTACAACACACACACAAAGCAATGATTTGAGTTCCAATTTTCGTTTACCGTATCTTTAAATGTTTAAAGCTTTGTCATTCTTGTCACTCCTACACATAGAAAGTGTGGAGGAGGACAGTTAGAAGGGCAGGTTTTTATCCTTGTCACTCCATACATAGTTAGCATTTGGCAGCAGAGAATGCTGCAAGGAACATTGCAAACAGACACCCAAATACGTGCCTTCAATTTATGTCACAGCCATGAGTGCTGCTTGTGTTTTCTGCAGGGTTTGCATGCGGGGCTAAGATGAACTGAACAGTTTGGGACAATCAATGTTAACTAAATGGAAAGGGAAATGGGCCATGTTGTGAATCAATCATATACCATTATTATATTTGGATATATTATAGCCTGTGTTTCCTGATACATTTCTAAGATATTTATCACAAGCAGTGGAGCTGTGTCATCTCCATGTTTACCAGGTCTAAGGACTGTAATTTTTACAGAAAAGTCTTCTTTTCATCCCATTAGCCAGTTTTTTGTTTTTGCATTAAAATCCCAATAGTTACCCAAAAAAGCCTCTGCTTATACTGTTTGCTGTTTGTAAAGCTCAATGATGACGACAGCTTAAACAGCTAAAATAGCACCAGGAGCAGCAGAGTGTAAGCTCCAGCTGATTAGCAACGCAAAAACAAAACTTGCAGCCAACTATGTTGTCAAAATATGATAATCGTATAGCTTCCAACAAACTTTCATAATCTTACTTATTAAACAACCTGAATGATTAATACATGATCAAAATAGTTTTTGATTCGTTTTCTGTTATTTGATTTTTTTTTTTTTTTTTTTGAGCTCCGCTGTATTTGAGGTAATTGTTTCTTTACCCAGCAGAGCTCTCACCCCGTGGTAAAGCAGATCACAGTGGAGGAGCTCTTTGGTTCGTCTCTCCCTAAGGACCCCTCTCTACCAACCATGCCCACGCAGAGCAACACTGTTTCCAGTGACCCCTCCGCTGCCTATGTCCACAAACAACCGTATCCTGCTCCACCTCCACAAAGCACTCTCCTCATTCACCAACATGCAGCCCAAGACCCTGGTTCCAACCAGAGGAATCAAGCCCCCGGTCTGCTCCCTGCTCCATATGCACTACACCCAAGTCCTGTATTCCAGTCAGTGATCCAAAGGTCAGACCCTCAGCTACACTCCTCAGTGTCCCCACTCATAGTGCCTTCAGCTGCTCCTCCTGGTACCGCAGGACCTCCAACTGCTCAAACATCCTATATGGGTCAGGACATCCTCGCCACACTCAAACCGGCAGCACCTTCTGTAAATTCAGACCACCACAAACCCATCCTCGCACCCAACTTCCTGCCAAGCACATTGGTCCCACCCCACAGCTTCCGAGAGCCTATGGGAAAACCCCTTCTCCAACACGGAAAGGACGTGGATGTTTTCTCTCAGTCTCCAAATCTGATTAAACAAATATCTGTGAGTTCAGCTATTTTTTTTTTTCTGGTAAATTTGAATCCAGTATTTTTGATCTTATTTCATTTTTTGCTTTTCTTTCCTCTTTCAGGCTGTCCCCATGAGTCCAAGTCTTGCTGTTCCAGGATCAGGGGTTTCTGTGCTGCTTTCCCCCAGTGCCTTCCAGCAGTCCCTCAATAAGACACCGGCAGCAACGTCAATGGTCCCTCCTGCACCCACTGAGCCCACCTCAGCCTCTGGAGGAGCTAAAGAACCTGTAGCATCCCCCTGCAGTAAAGCACAGCTACAGGAGACTCTGATACACCTCATTAAGGTAAAGTAGAAGCGTAAAGCATATAAAAGAAACTGTCGGCACTTCATAGCATGAGAAAAGTTCAAGCTAGTACTAATTACCCCTGTATTATAACATTATGTATAACTTTAAATATCTTTTCCACACATACAATGGAACTAAAAATGGACCTTGTCTAAAATTGTTTAGTGTGTAGACAGTGGCAGATCTGAGACGCCCACAGAAGTCTTAGGTGTTCTTCCCAGAACTAAATAACCAACAATGTGCTTCCTGTGTACATAAACATGTGTGTGCCAAAAATGAATGGTCTTGTAGAATTATATTAATATGGATTATATACCGTATATAAAAAATAAATTAGCTCTTTCTTTTTTTTTTCTCATTTTCTCATGTGTGAAGTTGTTGTCCATGCATTCTCTCTAACAGCCAGCAGGGGGCGACCATTCTGGTTGCAGAAAGCTATATTAAACCATTGATGCTGTTTAACGGTTGCAAAATCCACATACTTAAACAGTTTCTTTTTTTCTTCTTCTTCTTCTTCCTGCCCTGATTTTCTAGAATGACCCAGACTTCCTTGGTGCCATTCATGATGCTTACCTGCAGAGCCTATCCAAGGACTTTGGCAACGTAAAACTATAGTCCTACTTCATCCATCACCACTCTTTTAGTGCTCCGACCTCATCAGGATCAATAAAGATACACACAATTAATGGAGAAGTTAAAAAAAAAAAAAAAAAAGTGGAGCAAACAGGTTTTCAACACACTGTTCACCAAAAAACCCTTCAAAACTAGTCTGTGTGCTAAAGGTTATTACAGCATGCACCGCACCATCTAACCATCTGTTCCTGATGCTGAATACTCGTTTTGGATCTATCTTTTGTCAAAATCTATGAAAAGCAGAACTACTGTGGGAAAGACTAATGAGATAAATTTTCCCAGTTAAATCTTGATGTATGTTTTGTTTGGTTTTTTTGGGGTTTTTTTGTTTGTTTTTTCCTTTTGAACTTTCTGAATGTGGTCAAACTTTATGGTTGGATAAAGTTTAGCTGTTGGTGTTTTGTTTTTGTTTTGTTTTGTTTTCTCTGGAGGACAGAACCACAGTGGAGCTTTGGGAACCTCAAACCCGCTGACCCTCAGGCAGATAGTTTTGCAGCTGTACGAATCACAGGTGCTGCTTCTCTTACTCGTCACGTGTTTGGTGTTCTCACCACGAGCACACTTATACTGCGACTACTTGTGATGAGAAAGGCCTCTGTGCTGGGGACCTGAGCTATCCTGCTATGTGGCGTTTAAGCAGAACCAATCTTTCCCCCCGTTTTGTTGGGTTTTCTTTACGTTCTACGTTTTGAAGCTGAAGAAGATGCTGAGCAGCCATTCCAGGCGTTTTGTGTTTGGCAGGCGTTTGTTGAGGAAGTTTTAAGCTCTCGTCCAGTGAAGATGAATAACTTCTATCATTGTTTGGAGAAGAAGCACTTGCAGCCAAGAACTCAAACTAATCACCTATCCCTCTCAGCTGCTTTTATAATGTTACAGACGGTGATATGTTTATGACTCAGAAACGAGCTCCTTTGCTACCTTTGGTTTTTCCACAAGTCTCCTTACCCTTGCTTTGTCTACGTCCTTCCCCTTCTTTGTGCTGTCATCTCTCCTCCACCAGCTGATCTTGCAGTCGTGGATGTTCTCGGAGGGGAATGTGCAATAGGCGACAGTCGCAAAGCCTTTAGGGATACCAGCATTTTGGGATATCTTAGTCTGCTACTACAGAGCCTTTTGGGGTCTGCAAGTGATTTATGTTTCGAGTATTAAGAGAAAAAGGAAAAACCAAAGTAGCAAATTTCGATTTCTGTTTCTTTTCGATCCTTTTAGCAGTAAAATGCTTAAACAGGTGGAAACCAATGTGATTTTGATAGCTTCAAACAAGCTGAGTTGCTACATTTACCCAGACTAACGCTGAAAACTTTAAACTACCTCTAGGCCCATCTACCCCCCCCGCCCCAAAGTATGTTTTTCCAAGCTGCAGTCAATAAGTTGAAGATGAAATAAACTCGGGTGTTTTTTGCAGTAAAAGGCTACTGCAGCACGTCCCCATAAACCCTGCAGACTGCAGTGGAAGCAGGAGTAAACGCGTCCGTTTTCCTCGTGTACACCACTGAGTGGCTGCTGTTTGTGAGCAAAGAAAAAGAATAAATGTACGTCATGAAATCTGAGATCTAAAAAATATATATATCAATGAATTTTCGCACAAAAATTTCAGCATATTCAAACTATTAAAGTTGTCTATTTATACAAAAAAGGAAGAAAAATTATGTAAATGCATGAAAATATTAGAGGGTTTTCTGACCAGTGGTACAGTGATGTTCAGTAGTTGGGCCATTAATCCAGTTACTTAAACAACCAGTATACAAAGTCATTAATATCCAAACAGTGTATTTTTTTTAATATTTGTGAGCAACAAGAAGAGCAGAGATTATTGCTTTGTATATATTTTTTTTTTATTTTGCGGCATGAATTCTTGCCTCGATTGTGACATCACAGCTTGGTATTTAATATTTGAAGTTGTCTTTCTCCTGCTTGCAGTACTTTTTTGTAAGTTTATTTTGTTTTTTTGTAATTTGGAAAAGTTTAAATTTCAAATGTGAAATAACATCTGCATCCAGGGAGCAAATGGGATCGTTTGTTCATTTCATTACCATGTAAAAACTCATTTTTCATGTCAGAGATGGTTTTGCCAACACATTTTCTTTGTTTTTCTCTGCATGTGTTGGTTAAATAAAGAATAATTGAAATGTTAGAGATTGTTTTTAATCCCGGTCACATATTTAAGATTTTAAGGTTATTTTACACGTCGGTCTAATTTATCTTATTGGCCCACCATGTGGTTTTGAGAGTTTTTGCAAATAACACAAATTTTTCTAAGATTGATGTTATTGTGCGTAATTTGAATATTTTGTGATATTAAAGATTTGAAAGTAATTGTTTGCTCTTGTTTTCTGCTTGGAGGAGTCAATGTTTTGGTGAGCAGTGAGAAGCTTCAGAACTTAAAGAGGAGTGTGATTATTAGAATAGAAATTTGAGCCTCTTAACAAATTATTATTAATATTATTATGCATATTTCTAATTAAGCCCAAGTTTATAAAGACAATCATAACTAAGAGATCTGTCTTGAATGGTGCAGTCTTGTCTTTGACCACCAGATGTCACTAGTTGCTTACTTTAAACCCGCACCTACCCCACAGTAATTGTCACAGCCAACATCAAATTAGTAGTTCCGGGTTTAAATGACAAATTGAATGCTGATTTTCTTTATTATTATTATTATTATTATTAAATAAACTTACACGGCTCGCTTTTTCTCTTTTACTTACCAGATCATCTGCCGGCAACAAAAGGGAAGATTCTTCAAGAACACCAAAGAGGAAATTGGGGGGGGGAGGAAAACTGTCACACTAAATCAAACGTTGTGCAGACCTTACCTGAATGCTTGTATATCTCCTTCATTTGGAACTGGGTGGTGATCTCTTCAGTCTTCATTCTGTAAATCTTTTACACCAGAATACCCTCTCCTCTGATCATGACCCGAAAAAGCCCACTGCTCTTTCTTAAAGAGGTGTTATACGGTTCTTCAGTCTTTACACGTGGCATCAGTCACACATTACTGAAAGAGCTTCATTTTTTATTATCTTCATAGTATCACAACACGAGCCCAAATGTCAGCGCCTTAAGCTCCTGTTCAAATGTCAGCTTAGTGATGATGTTGGTCGAAGCTGTGTAAGAATGTGGACAGCAATGCTGCAGCTACAAGGAAAGTCCATTTGTATAAAATGAGAGCATTGGGGTCTATTTATAGAGCGGTGTGAACGCATTTTGCAGCCTGTATGGATGCATGAGATGAAACTCCTCAGTGCAACTTCACGATAAATAAATAAAACTTTCCCGCTGTTTAAAAAATGACGAATACAAAAATCTGTCAGTATAAACTGATCTCGATGTGCATCACTTATTTTATATTATAATATATATTTCATATATAATGTGTTCCCACTTTTTTGCACGCATTGTTTTGGTTTGCATAGTTGCTGTCTGTACAGAGCGTGGAAATGCTGCATCTGAGCGTCCCTGATCAGAGTCTGTGTGCCGGCTTGCTGTGAGCGTTTACCCGCGCGTGTGGCCTTGGTTTTAGTCCAAAGCCTTCCTACTGTCGGTTCATGCGACAGTTTGGACTAACTGCAGGCTTCGTTTGGCCCTAGATTAGCCATATTCATAGGCTTCGCTTGCAAACACGCCCCCTCCCTCCCGCCCTCTGTCTCTGTGGTTAAACAGCGTTATCTCTTTTTAACCCCTGCCATCGTCCGCTGCGCTCTCCTCGCCTTTATTCTCAGAACAGTAGACCGGGGGGAACTTTTAACTCTTTTAACTCTATTTTACCGGCTTGCGTGTGAGTGAGTGTGCTTCTCTTCGGTTCACCGGCCAGATGGAGGACTATCATAAACCGGACCAGCAGACGGTGCAGGCGCTCAGGAACATCGCCACCCGACTCCGGATCAACTCCATCAAGGCGACAACTGCAGCGGGCAGCGGGTAAGATGGTTAAACCGAGCAGGAGACGCGTGACAGCAGAAAACGTGGTTTTATGCACGTCATTTTTATCCGTTTAAATATCGATGTGTGATTTCTTTCATTTATGAGGACCTGCTTCAGGGAAGCGCATGATAATTACAGATGAACTGGTCGCAGAACACAGTAACGTCTGTTTTAACGTGTAAAATAGTCAAACTGTGTGTTTAAAATATTGTAGATGCACCATATGAAAATCTGTCTCTGTGTGTGACGTGTCTAAACTTTTTTAAGCATTTCAGTTGTTTACCTGTGCGTATAGTTAGTTTTATACCAGAGTCTGTGCGCAATTTACGCAAAAGCAAGGGCGGTTGGGCAAGTTCATGTACATACATGCTACGAGCAATATCCTGACCGAAAATATAGTCTTAATGTATTTAATAATATGTTGTGCCCCTTCAAAATAATAAAACATGTTTATTATTTTGAAGGTGATCGAGCTTGCTGCAGGTGCACTGGTGTTCCACTCCTCTTGTCCTCCGAGATCACTTACGCAACACACACATACAACTCACGCCGGACAGTTGTTTTATGTGGCCATTGCTACGGCTCATGGGTCGATGTGTTGTGCGGCAGCAGAGAGCCGCTCAGTGCGCAAACATGCTTCTGCAGCGCCTGCGTGACCCGACGGAAACGGCAAAAGCGAATAACAACGTCCAGTGTGCACTTTCTAAGTCGCGATGACAAATATGCTGTCATGATAGAAAATACAATGACCTGGAAAATAAATCGGACTTTTCATTATTGGTGACTCTTTTTTTTTTTAATTTTATCGAGAAATAAATAAATAGTTTCTTTTCTTTTGTTCTCGGTTCTTGTTGTTCTTCAATGATTTGCTTCCAACATGAAGCTCCTCTCTTTCCAGTGGAGATGCTTCCCAATCCATCCATCACTTTTGGTTCGAATTCCCTTTTTAGCTTAAAGACATCAAACACTTACAGACTTTTTTTTTTTTATATATATAACGTGTGCTGCACCAATCACTCACCCTTTTCCTTGTTCTTTTTTCTTTCTTTCTTTCTTTCTTTCTTTCTTTCTTTCTTTCTTTCTTTCTTTCTTTCTTTCTTTCTTTCTTTCTTTTTAATTATCTCATTACATTTTTCATTTCAGGGTATTTAAAAAAA